ATTTTGAGAATAAAACCAAATCGAATTTTTCACCGACTGATCTATGGTTACCAATAAAATCAGTTATTTTATATTCGATTTCAATTTTTATCAAATAAACATCAATCAATTTTTTTCTAATAATAAATTATATTTTATGTTATATTTTATTATATTTTGTTATATTTATTCAAATTTTGATTTTTAGGAGACTCGTTTTGGTTTTTAATTAATGAAAGGTTCAACTGAAATTAAATTAAAATTTATTTGATTAATACCGAACCAAAATAATAAAACTAAAAAACAATTAAAATCAAACTGAATTCATTTTTGTAGTTCAATTTTTAGATAACCATTTGGTTACCCACCCGAATACCCACCCCTACCCATTTTCACCCAGTGTTGTCGTGCTTCAATCCCTGCCAAATAACTAGGGTAAAGTGTGGTTAAGGTAGCCAATGAGGGATTGGATCAAGTGGTAAGCGACTTGTTTCAGTTTAAGTAAGGTCTCGAGTTTGAGTCCTTGTGTATGCAGCAGCCCCCGCTAGGAGACTCACCCACCATTTCCAGGTGCGCGACGCGGGTCAGGTCCGGATTAGTCGGGGCGAAGCCTCGGATACCGGGCGGAAAACCAAAAAAAAAAAAAAAAGTATGGTTAAGGTCTCAAATTTGCACTAAATTTATATTTAAGATCTTAAAACTTTATTATACTCAATTAGGGTCTTAAAGTTATGATAATTCTCAAATAAAGTTCTAATTAAATGGAAACGGTTAGATTTGTTAAATCTATTGTTAACCTAACTTTTGATTAGTTAAATAATTAAAAAGTCCCTAAACTTTTAATTTTAACTCTTAATAATTTTAAAACTTTCAAAAAATTCAAGAAACTCATAAATTTATTTTTCTTTTTGTTTATGAGAATAATTTTGTAGGACTCACAACTAAAAATTAATGTGGCATATATAGGGGGTTAGGGGCCTCAATTTTTATGTTATTTTTTTTTCATAAATGGATTTATTATGCAAATATGTGAGACCCACTTAAAAAATTTGTTATGACAAAAACAAACTTAAAAAATTTTTAATGGTTAATTCAATTTTTAATAAAATTATTTAAAGGATAAGTAATAAATTGTTTTAGATAATTAAAATTAATTTTTAATTGTCCAAAAAATTTCCTTATCAACAAAAAAAAAAAAGTTTAAGGAGCAATTTGAGGTTTTTAAAAATTTTAAGATTATTAAAAGTTAAAATTAAAAATTTAGGAATTATTTTGTTATTTTATTAGTTAGATTTAATGGTGTTAACAAAATATTTAATAGATTT